TATGCAGAAGCCTGAATTTGTCACATAAATAACAGTCAAAATCCACAACAAACACAAGGCATTATCAGGAGAAGTGACAAAAGGTGCAGTAAAACTTCAGAGACTGAACCAACCCACAAGAATGTTAACATTTTCTAACCTTTCCCTTAGGGAGCTGTGCTGCTGCTAAGGCACTTTCCACCCTCTTCTTATCTGCAGGGAACATCTTGTATACACTGAAAAAAACACAGTGAAACATTGAGTAGGAAATCTACAGTACAAATTACTTCTGTCTGTCGAACTGTAACCTACTTTTTCACTGGGATCTTGCCATCCTTGTTGGTGTGAAGGGAAATGCGGACGTATCTAAGATCCAGCACAGACATACCATTAACACATGACTGTCATACATGGTGAAATGAATTGATGCTGTGTTCGCAGTAAATCATACACGCAGAACTGCTGTGAAGTTCACTTACATTTTCTCCAGGAAGACTAGTCTGCAGGAATTGTTTCTTGCAGCGTTGTAGGCTATCGCAAGTATCTCATTTGCCCAGTTCTGATGTGCATTTAATCACAAATACAAACAGGCATATTACATCCGATATCAAGATGAAATGTGCTTGAAATTTCATTATAAATGATTTTTAAATGGACAAACATATCACCACTAGAGGGCATTAATATAATAACAACACAGGAAATGAGAGAGATGCATGATGCATTTAAAAAAATCTCAATTGTTATTTCATTACAGTTGAGGAAATCCGGTCATTGGAGTCATAAAGTCCAATAAAGACTTAAGGGGAGACAGAAGGCGCCGTATTTGGAGGAAGTAAAGGCTCAATGTGTAATAAGTAATGGCCTGTAGCTGTGTTTGAACAATCAGAGAAAGAGAGGATTGTGAACAGCTGGAGGATGGACACACACACTGTCAGGGGCTTATTACCTGTATCACCTTCTCCTTAGAGGCAAAGAAGTTATGATAGGTCAGATTCACCGTGTCAGGACCTGAGACCAGGGTCAGAGTTTTGGCGAGGTGGTTGCTGTCGGGGAAGTCCATATTGAACACATTGCGAACCTTGCTGTGCTTTGAAAGGCAAAAAACAGAGAAGATCATAACCAATACATCACATTGGCTCAAAATACATACTGTAGTGTAATTCCTAAAGAAACACATCGCACACAAACAATTATTTGTATATCAATTGCTTACCTTGTTAAGGTTTTAAGAACACTTTTTTATTTCACATGCCATGGTGAAGGGAGAATACTCTTGAAGAATTGAAGTAAATGGTGGCCATGTTTAACATCCAACTATTTTATACACTTGGACAATATGAGTGTGTAAATGTTATAGTGAAATGTATGTGTTTGGAAATACATTTGGATTTGTATAAGATTTTGTTAATCAGTTTTCCTGTGATAAACGCAACCTCCATTTACTTCAATTCATTCATAATTTTCTCGGATTTTACTTCATGGAGGCATGACATACATTTCATGAGCAATTGATATGCAAAAGGGTCATAATGTGGGTGATAAATACTTTGAGCTGGTTATTCCTCATGTGTTCGCCCTGTTTGCTTTAAGAAGTAAAATCGTGTCTGCAGCATTTGTTCTCTGGTAGTTTGTTTGCAGGCAAATTTGCTGGCCAAGACATGCAAACATATGCACACGACACAAAGAGACACACACTCATGTACAACACAAACAGGAGGAAGAACACCAGAGCATTGCTGTAGGTGCTACCTTCCTGTTTCTGCAACTTTACAATCAAACACTTCTTTGGTACTTTCAGAAGTTCAGAGCTAACGTCAGCGCTGCAGCCGCTGTCCCCAAAAAATCTGCTCTGGGGCCCCGGGGAAAAATATGTGCTTTCAATAGCAACCTGAATGGGATGATGCAGTGTTCTGTGTGCACTCTCCCTGAGGGGAACACTTTTCAAATTTCACCTCTGAACCCTCAGTGAGGGATGACGATGGCTGCGTGATGCTACTCTCTGTGGAGACCAGCGAGGAGCGGAACAAATAATACAGCTGTTAGATTTAAAAAAAGAAAAAAACCTCACTCAGAGAAATCTCAGATCATGACTCTTTGTGTGTGTGTGTGTGTGTGTGTGTGTGTGTGTGTGTGTGTGTGTGTGTGTGTGTGTGTGTGTGTGTGTGTTGTGTGTGTGTGTGTGTGTGTGTGTGTGTGTGTGTGTGTGTGTGTGTGTGTGTGTGTGTGTGTGTGTGTGTGTGTGCGTGCGTGTGTGTGTGTGTGTGTGTGTCTTTATTTGTTTGTATATGTGTGTGTGTTTCTGTAGAAGGGGGGCAGCATGGGCGCCGAAGTCCATTGCTGTTTTTGCAATGCAAATAAGCCATTAATTATAATGGGCAAATTAAGGGCTTGACACCATTTACATGCCTGCACAGATTCTTACAGCAGAGTTATTACATTAAAAAATAATAATGCACTCACTTTGGGAAGTTTTGCATATTTTCCTGTTCTGGTATCTCTGACAGTAGCAACATCCAGGAACGTCGTCTCCTAGAAACAAGAAGAAGAAGTATTTTCATTCAACATGTAGGCACAAGTCCAAATATGGATTCAGATACAACTCATGTTTTGTCAAAATGCAACAAATATGGGATTGGCTTTGTTTGTGCGGAGAATATTAAGACTGCATTGTCAAAACATTACGTATACGTTACTGCCTTTTCATACACATTTCCAACAAATGCTTTTAAGTCAACAACAGAACATAATTGGGCCCAAACAGGCACACAGGAGACATTTATTTAATTGGCTTCACTGGTTTAGTAATGTGGTAGAAACCAGATGGGGCCTAAATGAGAGAGAGACAGAAAGAAAGACAGGAATAATAGAGACAAGGAGAGAGATGAAGCTTTCCTCTTCATCAAATGCATCACAGTGCAGTTGCAGAATGGTGAGCCCACATCAGCACCGATCAATAATCTCCACAAGAAGCTTGGACCTGATTGTAGCTCTTAGCTATCTCACAGCTTTGGCAGACGCAATCAAATACACATTACACAGATGTGGATTATTTGAAACATGACCACCTCTATTGATCACGTGTTTTAATCTGTCAGGTTGGGTTTGCATGATACACAAAAAAGCCATTTCATTTATATTAGCCACGGAATTGGAGTCAACACTTTGACATTTTGTGCAAGGGCATTTTTGTTCTTTTTTGTAGACCCTGGATATTGATTACCTTGCTTTGGTTGACCCAGTAGACATAAAAACCTTTCGGATCCATCTTCATGGTGACAGGAAAGGTCTTTGTGGAGTCCTGGATGGAGGCAAGGCAATTAGCGTTCCAACATTTTGGACATTTATTAATTTATCATTCATGATGTAGGACTACCCAATTTTCATACAACATCAGTGTATAAAGTTATTGTAGGATTTAAATTAAACTCACATCACTCAAAAGGTAATGAAAAATAAAAAGGCACATATTAGCATGATACTTTTAGCTGGTATCAAATTATACAGCTCAGATTTTAAGATTTTTTTGAAATATTAACTCACCTCAGACCACTTGGTGAATCTCTCTCCTTTCAACAAGTAGTCTTTGACCTCTGGATGCTCCAGAAAGTGTCTTTTCTTATTCATTTTGTCGTTCTACTGTGAGTCTTATGACAACTCAATGCTACAACTGATCCACCATGGTCTTAACCATTGACTAGCTTATCCCTCCGTCGGCATTCAAAATATAAACTATAGTGGAGTTTAGTGCACAGCCTCCGAGAGCACCCGGGGCACACCCTGAGAAATATGCATTGCAAATTAGGTTTGCAAAAAACACGCAACCCAACTAAAGGTGAAAGTGCCGAATGTCAAACCCTATAGATTGAGCAGTATCTGTTGACAGTATTTGAAAAAAAGCTAATCATAAATAGTAAATTCACCTGAATTACAAAAAGAAACCATCTCATTGTATGTATTTTGTTTGATATTTCTATTTTTCCCTATGGCAAGGGAGGAGAATGGATTTTTTCATGTGTTGCTTAGAGCAATATGTAAACATAGTTATTATTAGAGTTATCATGAAATGATAAAATAGCCATTTATAAATAGTGGTAAGGCATCATTTCATAATAGTTCACATAAAAAAGTGTTTATACACTTCCCAGCCCATGCAGTCAACATGTCGATGTATCCTTGGGCAAGATGCTTAACCCTGAGTTGCTCCCGATGGCATGGCCAACGGTGTGTGAATGTTAGGTCCTAGAGTAAGGTACACTGCTCTGTATGAATGGGTGTGAATGGGTGAATGACATGTAGTATGTAAAGCGCTTTGAGGGGTCTTAAAGACTGGATAAAGTGCTATATAAGTACAGTCCATTTACCATTTACCATTTATACTGTGGCTTGAGTAACCAAGACTTTTTATGGAAAGAGATGCCTCCGTTGTATTGAGGTGGAAGCAGATTTCTCACACATGTCTTAAAACCTGGCAGACATATCAATAAAAAGCATGGGTAGAGCTAGGCACCACTGGGGATAAGTGAGAAAATGTTTTTGGTGTAGTTAGGGTGAACCCACCCTTTAATAAGTAATTTTCACACTTCCACAGCCATTTTAAGTTGCCATTTGCTGTCAGCATATCAGCCTTTTTTTTAACAGAATGACAAAAACTGAGTCTGCTTTGTTTTATCAAATGACACTCCCTCGGTCCCTGGCGGTCTGAACGTTTGCATTAGATATTGGACCGTCTTGAGGTTTATTTGAATGATATCCAAATGACCGGGAATCCTTTGTTGAAACAGCAGGCAGAGTCCTGCCTCCAGCTATAAATGACACTGCGTTATGACCCTGTACAGCTGGTGGTGGTGGTATGATTTGATCAAATAATAAGCTGACACGTAAATAAAATCCAGGTGATTTGCTGTCATACTATAAAGCTGGGGCTTCCCACAGCAGCCATGTATTTACATTGAGCAAACAATTAAATAAAAGGTCAAAACAGGTTATGTTTGCAGAATTTATGTGAAGAAAAGCCTGCCCTTAGACTGTATACATACTGGTTCCTCCATTTCTAGTGTAATTGTGTCACCGTTTATGTTGCAACCATACGGTATAGCATATCACCCTGCTCCAAATCTCCATATCTTAAAACATGATAATCAAAACAAGCAGCCTTCCTATAAACACTTGAATTGGTGTCACAGGTACATATCCCATATGAGCTGACAGCTAGCCTTATAGCAGCAGGAATGTCTGCAGAGTCTAGTTTCGTGACAGCAAATGCATTCTTTTTTTGTGGCCGTCCACTGTGTTTGTCATATTTTTTCTTCTTCTTGACATCAGTTTTTGTGACACTGGAAACAAAATAACATAGTTGTTTGTTAGATGCAGTGATATAAAAGAGAGTCAAATTCACTTGAAATAATTGTATTTATAAGATGACATATGTAGCCAAGTAGAAATTGATCTAGACCAAAGTAGCCTACTTTAAGTATGTTATTGATAGGTATGTGAGTTATAATGATAACCAATGGAGTTCAAACATTAGACTATATATAACATTATTTATTTGGTAAATTAATACTCCACTAATGCTATTGCCCCTGTGCTTAAACTGTTTCACCTCTGCAGCTTCCCAGAGGACATGCGCAATGACAAACCCTGGGCTCTGTCCATTGTGCTGAAATTAGGTTAAGTGAACCAGGTAGGATCAGGTCCAAAGTGATTAAAAAATCTAATAGGTCTGATATAAAGTGTTATTTATGTGGCTGTTTCCAAAAGCATTGAAATATTAATTAATATCGGATTAAATTAAATTAATCACCACTTCATGGGCACAATTGTAACCGACATCCATTCCACTTGGGTGCGCACACTTTAAGGTAAACACACTGCAGCGTCCCCCTTGATCCCCCCACTACAACATCCTGCTCTCCATGTGTTGCACAAGCGTCCTGATGTGAACATAATGTGTGTGCGTGTGTGTGTTTTTCTTTCATGCTTTCTTCTCGCTGATGCACAGTTGCTGCTTCTTTAAGAGCCACCGCCCGCCCCCTCTCCTGTATTTTTAGCTGAGCCAGCCACTTCATTTGCAGGATAAGACAGACAGTTGTGTACCGTGTGATCTCACTTAATCGTTTTTAATAAATCAAATCTTATGCTGCGTATCTGCCGTGGGCCTATGCAGCCAGCTGTGTGTTGGACATGTCGCACAGGGTAGACATTTGTCCCGCCGCTGTCGGATGCTGAAACGCGCATCAGCCTGTGGATGCTGGATGTCCATTATGAAACGCAGTACCGGGTATCAGGGGCATTGCATTTGAGATCAAATGAATTACAGGAAATCAATTTAAGCTGCAGAACAGGCTACTACACGGTTAAAAGAGGTCCGGCATCTTTCTGCTCAGCCCGCAGCTTTCTCTCTTCTCTTGGATTGTGGATAACAAGAAACCTTCAAGACGGAGGGGGTGGTGGAGCATCGAGGAAAAAACAGGGGCAATATGAGAGAGCGGGACTTCATGCCCAATATGGAGAGGGGCAAACCTGCTACTTATACGGGGGACAAAAAGGCTAAGATGGCTGCTAAGACTAACAAGAAGTGGGTGAGACTAGCCACTGTTTTTGCATATGTATTGTCCGTGTCATTAGCAGCCATTATCCTGGCGATTTACTACAGCCTGATCTGGAAACCGACCAGCTCATCCTCATCTGTGGGGAAGCCAGGGGTGCCCGGCGAGGTCACCCCCACCGCGAACATCTCAACTAACATCTCCAGCAGCCACAATGTGTCAGAGTGGAACTCCACACAGAATAATGGACTGCTAAACCAGACCCAGTACAGACAGGGCTTTCAGTGGGACGACAGAGCCGAGAGTGTGGCCGTGTCCGGGGCGGCGATTGCGCACTCGCAGCCGGAGGAAGGACTGTACGCATCTTCCCACGGTCACACACGCGAGGAGAGATCGGACACTTTGGGGGGACAGACGGATCAACCCGGAGCGAGCCACTTCATCCCGTCAAGCACCAGGGAGGCTGGGGGTGAGGAGGATAGGGAGGCGATTGACAAAAGCGAGACTGATCAGGCGGCTGCAGATGTTCCTCCAACATCCGCGACAACCACAGCCGGCCAAAGAGGGGACTGATCGGGCCTCGTCCCGGCCACCACACCCCCCTGACACACATAAACTGACCCTACAAGGAGTGTTTTACAGAATCGGTGCCGCAGGTCGGATAACACACACATTAAACTCATTTTGCAGAGCCTCTTATGGATGCTAAACTGCACCTATTAACTGACATCTTCTTCTAATGACTGAGAAAAGATGAGACCAGTGAACACTGTTTCCCCCTTCAACACTAACTATGCGGTTTTCTGTTTTTGTTTAGGCCATCTGTATGCCTTAAATCAATGTGTGTCTACTTTACCTCGGAAAGCTTCAGAAGCCACTAACCTGCCCGTATGCGTGGACAACACTGGTATATAATATGTTGTTAAATGAATAGGACACAGGAGCCAGAAATGTGTTTTTGCAGGACATAAATATTCCCCACAGGCGATACAGCGCTTGAAATCACTGCCATTCACTGGTCTAGAAATCAATACTGCATTTTAACATAGGCTGTGTTTTATTTTTGTGGAACAAACCTGGATTCCAAGTAGAAGAACCTGCATTATTGAGTTATGCTCAGGTATGTGCATATAACCATGTAAATGTATTGTGTATTTGGTTATACATAAGAGGCAGGCATACTTCATTTGGGCCTTGATGAACTTTTAGTGTAATTAGATAATTTTTATTAAAAAAGGTACAGTATGTATGATAGGTATAACTATATCACAAGATACAAATAAACATCTTTAGAAAATAATGCTCTGTTTTATGAAAGATTTATGTACTGTAAATCATGACTACATTATTCTGTACGTATAATATTTTATTTTCTCCAAGCCAGAATGGATGATATATATATATATTCAAATAAATGTTAAGTTTTTTCCAGACCTCTTACATCATATCTAAAGCCATGGGGATTTAAATTAACTGTGGTGCACTTCAGACTATTAGGAAAAAAGTAATAGTGAAAAACCTTCATTTATTGATTGATATGAAGAGGTAGGAATAATAATGAACTTTTAATCAGATCATGGAGTGGAGGCACTTTAATCACCTGAGTGAATCGTCCAGTGTGTGATCAGAGGGAGGGATCTGCTCCTTGTGGAAAGAAGCATTCATTTCCCAGTGTGCCACAGTTCAGTCGCTGCGTCTCTCACTGAAACCACTTCACACAGTCACATGTGACGAACTATGAAGTGGAAATAAGACCAATCACCCCATGCGTCCTTCTCAGCAACATGTGAGGGAGGTGTATCGATTTGAGAGCTCTGTTGTTGCGCTGTACAAAACAGAGAAGAACACATTACACAATACCACTTGATGCTATTTTTGATCCAACTCTCTCTTAAAAGGCTGGTTTGGTTTTTATGCAGGCTAAAATAATCGTCATTCACTATCATGCTTAAACTAAAACCATTTGATATTGGCTGAACAGCATCAGAAATGGTATGCTGTGATGTAAACAGTGATGCACTGTTGTGTCAATATGACAGATTTTCAGAAAAGAAGCCAAGGTATGCGTCTGGTGAGCTACAGAGGAAGTCTATTCATCGGGGAAGACGGCACAAGACACAAACATCCCCCCATATTTACATCATAAATCAAGTGTACCGGACAAATGTAATACAGAGTGTGAATTAAACAGCAACAGGCCTGTCAATACTGCAGTGGCCACGGTATATGAGGGTCGTGCCCGATGTGATACTGTGCCTCTTATGGCTCCTTGTGATATATGAGAGCAGAACGACCTATTGATGTCGGAGTTAAATCAGCACTTAGAGTTGTTCAGGACACTGCATGCGACCTCATGACCCAGACAGGTGATTACATTATCGTCATCTGTTGAATTAGAGTGCAGTATGGGATTTGTTTCTAGGCACAAGCCAGGCATCACATGGTTTTTTCTTTAAACAGGTTTATTAAATCATACAAATATATTAAAGGCTGCAATACATTTTTAAACTTTGGCTATTTGAGCTTTAATAGCTACTTTAATGCCAGATTTGTCAGGAACGCTAAACAACTATCCACCAGAAAATCTACAGTGAGACGAAAGAGCCAATATAAAAAAATCCATACCCAAAAATGTTCACAATCATCAGCAGATAAAGTGTTAAACTCTTTAGTTATGTCGTTTAGCACAGTATAGCTTAAACATCCAAGGGAAGTTACTAAAAGTGTTTGCTGTGAGCAGGGATTTGAAATTATGCTTTTGAAAATGTATGTATATGTTTCCTCATCAGATTTTACATGCTTTTGGCATTCACACTATAGCCAAGAGACCTTACCAACAAAGCCGGAGGGATTTTAGTCCTTTTGTTACAATGTTGTTTGAGCAAGACACCATCAGAAAAGTTTTGCAATGTGAACAGGATGTCTTGTGATATATGAGAACAATATGAAGGGTGCGAAACAAAAGCTAAACTAAAGGGCAAAACTCTAGAGTGATGCATAACAAAACAAAAGCCAAGATGTGTGTTGGTGGGCATCTTTTTAGGCATTATGGTAATGTTGTTTCAAGACCTTTTGAAAATATCTATTGTATTAATTTTCCAATCATTGCTAGTTTTCAGCAGGTTGACATTACAATTCTGTTTTTATGATGCAGGTGCTAAAGATGTATGTATATTCAAAATGAGAAAAAGATATGGAACTATTGCAAAGGATGCAAACAATAACTACTGAGAAAATAGTTTAAGGTCAAAAGGTCATGGAGACTCTAGGACTTTTGTGTCAGTGAGATGGGACATTATTTCTGGCTCATTTAGAGGCATATTTGAATTAAAAGGTCAAATAAGGTAGCATCAGTAAAAATACACACATTTCCTAATATTTCTTTACGCTTCAAAAAACCTGAACGTTTTCAATTTATGTTGAAATATTTAATCTAAAACAAATTGCACTGTCAAATAATGTCAAACTGATTATCAAGCATGTACTAAAACATCACAATGGGACAGAAGGTTGCTTGCTTCCACTAAACTCTAAGTAATCTATTCCTAAACAGAAATCCCAAACAGGGAGGTAATGAATAATTCTAACAAAAGGACCGACCTCAGATAGCAGACAGCACATGGACACCTTGTCAGCCCAGCCTCCTGTCTCCTGTCAGTGTCCCCTGGCTGGAGGGAGGTGGTGGGGGGCCACACTCTGCATGATCAGGCCAGCTGATGTTGTTGTTGTTGTTGTTGTTACATCCTGAACCATGGCAGGGCCGGGGGATGACGCACGACATCAGTGGGTCTGCCAATCTTCTGTATGAGATTCTGTGATGGGACACTTCCACTTAACCTACATCCATCAACTGCAAAAACACACCCCACTGAGTTTATGGCAATTAAATGGCCTCATAGACCATGGGAAATATCTTTATAGCAATTCAGATTTCAGCTTAAAAGTTGTCAATTTGATATCAAGAGCATTAATATAGCATCCACAACTATTTGCTATTTCATGATAAAGTGCAGTAATGTTAACCTGAACAGAGAGCAAGTCGCTCTGCCTCCTCCTTGCTTTGTTAATGTTTACATAGCCAGCTCAAAGCCATGTTGGTAAGCACATGCATAGCTAGCTTACCTCCACTGTGAATATTGGTGGTCACGGAAAGTTCCCGACCAAAGGCGTCTTTGCGAAAACGAAACGGACATTCTCTAGTTCCCCCTCAGGTAAACTTGTGTTACACTCTGTCTGTCGTTGTTTGCATTGTTAGCGCTGTTAGCACCTTTAGCCGCTATCCGTCATGGTGAGAGCCGTTTGGAGGCAAGCTTTCTGCTACTTTGAACCATACAGTCTTTGAACCTTTAAAGATTCAAAAATGAATTTGCTTATTCATGCTTGCTTATTCGCTTCATTATCTCTAAAGCTAACACAATATATGTTGTTTATTAAGTTCATAAAAAACTGAAAATTATAGAATGTAGTGATTTTCCCAGGTGATTGATTTTCCGTTGGCCCGGATGCAGTGACTTCCTGGAGTCTTGCCATCACCATGATGTTGACTAAATACTGTTGTGAGCACGTACTTAAGTCTAATTTGTTCTGCACTGTAGCACAACAGACTCATTTAGTTATGTGTTAATGAAGAATACACTTCTGATTATAAATAATACATCTAATACTTGCTCATTCGTGGTTTGAATGCACATTGTAGACGAAGTCACTTTGGAAACAAATGGTCTGACATTTACTTAAAAATGCAAGGCAGTTTGCTGGCCGTAGCTTCAAATTTGCCAGACATATTTGGTTCCAATCTTATTATTATTTTCTAACTTGTTTGGTAGCGTTTTTTCCTTCTGTAGCCTATTGCTTTAAACTACCGTAAAAATAATTCTGCATTTAAAGGTTAAAATTAACCTCAAGCATCATTGTAGCCTGATTTTGTTACAGTAGTACGAAAGCTACTGTCAGTGAGGACTTTCTCTAATCCATAAATGTGACACCTAGCACCAAAAAAGACCTGTGATTGCACACAAAAAAGGATCCTATGAAATCTACAATGACAGGTCTCAGCACCATCTTGTTTAAAGCTGTTATATTTATATTATATATTATAGTCCACAAATCTAGCTCTTTTTTTCTACCTTAAAGGCAAGGCAAGTTTAGGTAGAGTGCAGATGAAATAATCCTACACTGCACTTCAATCCTCTAACAGCCTACGGGACTAATTTCCATAATATCAACACCCCCACTGTAGCACTGTACCATTGCGTCAGACCCTTTAAACCTTGGGTAGCCTAGCACCAAAGTGTTCCAGGAGTGTTATCGATTAAAACCATGTTTTTTTTACATCATTTGGGAGATCAAGAAACCTTTAGGCTTGTATTAAATATAATATCTAAAGAAAACAAGGGTTCATTTTCAAGGAGTATGAGGCTGCTTTAGTAACTGTACAGGAGGTCACATATGCCCTAAAGCCTGAGTGGCAGCAGAAGGCTACTATGGAGATAGCCTTGGGAGAGGATAATTAAAACAGTTGCACCTATGGGAGGTCCCACCTGTAGGGCTGAGAGGGAGCCGTTTCCAACCCGACAGCCCTGCGGAGAACTCATCAGGAATTAATCAAATCCAGCTTGAAGGCTGTTGATGCCGAAATGTGCTCTACATTTACAACACTTCTGCCCTCCTTTCTCTCTGAACATCAGCACAGCCTTATATTTTATTTCTTTTTAGGACTTTACAACTAGAGAAAGGTTTGCATACATATTTGTGTTGTTTATCCCAGGGGAAACAGTGAAATGGGGCGGAAGGTAAAAGAGGGTTGAACATGCAAAAAAACAATGCCAGTCATGATTTGAGAGTTTGAAAAACAGAAAAGCTTTATTCATGATCTGTATGCCTCCTTCCAAATGGATTTAGGGTAAATTAAGCTATGTTGCACACAGATTTAAATAAGTAGCAATCACATACACACTTATACACAGGCACTCACACATTTTCCTTCCTTATGAGAGTATGGGAAAACATGGAGGACAGCAGTGGAGGTGACAGTGCAGATGTATAATAACTAAATGCTAATCAAGTACAAATGCACAGCTGCTCTATGGTTGTAGGTCCTACATTTCATTTCACTAAATTGAATCCCACAGGGAAGTTTAAATATTTCAGAGGTAATCTGTATTATCTGTTTTGCAAACAAATATTTCCTTTACCCTCCATTCAAATTCCATATATAATATAGAATAAGGCCACAACTCAAAAACAGCACACATTCTTTCTTGATGTCTAGAATTTCTGAATTGTTTCTTAGTTTTTCCAGTGTGCTAGATTTCTGATGATTTATATTTGATGTAACTACAGCTGAAGCTGACAGGGCCCCAAAGAGTAGGCCACTATGTTCACTACTTACGGTTACATAACTGTTTTTGTATTATTGCCTGGCGGAAGCCAACAACTTATTTGAGGACAGAGTTCTTGTGAGGCTTCTTACTATAGTTGTCACTTGAAACCAAAACAAAATCTAAGAATGGCAATAAATAAAACAAATCCATACATGTCACAGAGGGAAAAAAACAGCTACTGAAATGTACATAGACATTGTTTCACAACATATTTAGCTATGTAAAATCATTCTAGTTAACATTCTTTTTTCCAAATGGAAAGGCAAATAAATAAAATCAATGCTGATGTTTAGTACAGTGTTTAACACTACTGCATGTTATGGTACACACAATTAAGGTACACCTTCAATATTTGAAGAAGCCAATATGCAAGGCACAACAAATGGCTAAATTCTTGAAGCTTCATCAGCTTTTCAAAAATATAAGTTGTCTTTCATGATTATAAAAGAGCTCACAATACAAAACAATGCCAAAAGGGAATTGCAGCTGAATCCCAGTGTTTTGACTGTGGACTAAAGGCTGAAAGTCTGTGGGTCCCACAGGGGCCAAAAGCCTCTACAGAGAAAAAGGCTGGAGGCTGTTATGCACTGGGTCGCTTAACACTGCTTGTTTTAAAACAGCAGGAGCAAGCTATTCAAATAACATAATGTTCTAGTTCCCAAATTAGTTTTTGATTCATAAAAGGTTCACTTTCATTATCCTGCAGTCCGTTGTTTAAATAAGTAATTTTACAGACAATTACAATTCCATGTTAAGAAGAAACATAAGAGTCTGAGGAAGACCAGAGGATTGGGATTCAGCTGTAAAACTATGTGTTAAAGGGCACGTTTGAGACTTAAATTCTGCTTGTTTTATCCAATTTGATAAACTTCCTCTTGAGCCACAGAACACGTTTACATTTTACAAGATGAGTAACGCTCACCAAGAAGCATAAACAGAGCTTGATGTGTCCTTGATTAAGTACCCCTTAAAACAAAATGCAGTTATATTTGAGAAACCTAATGCCTATGGCAGTGGCCAAAAAGTCTCAAATGTGCCATTTAACAAGGATTTGATTTTTGATTGGTGAAAGGCCATAGACTGATGCAGGAAGTAGTAAATAAACACTATCTGTGGGTATAAATACAGGCTCTACTGTATGTCAGTCACTACTGTATCATTATATAACACAGACTTGAATTTACTTATTGAAAAAAACCTCTAAGGCAGAATCAGGCACTAGATAATTAGACTGTGGCTGAAGTTTTTATTCAAGAGCTATATCTAAGTGTTACTGATTAGCTTACCTCCTGATACCTGTACCTTGACATTTTCATACAAATGTAAACATTCAATGATATTGCACTCAGGCAGCGTACTGACATGCTGAATATTGTGTCAGTACACATGCTTTTAATACTCATAGTGCTTGGATGTAAAAAATATTTGAGCAGGAAAATGTTGAACATTCCTTCATCCAAATTTGAGACGATTTGAAAACCATAGCAGAATTAAACCATGGTGCTCTGTGTAAGCCATAATCAGGGCATTTCAAATGAGCTACCAGAAGCAAAATGCAAAGTGGCAAAGTCTGTGTTGCTGTGACTTGGTTTCAGTATTTACATCCCAAAAATGTCAAACAATCTTCCCATGCTCTCTTGCCTGCAACAAAAAGAGAACAGCATACACAAAAGTATTAGTTCAACTGGATTTTTTTGTGCAATAATCAAGTTACGTATTTCTTTTCTAAATGAATGAATATGGCATGGTTTTATATATTGTCAAGCTGTTTCAGTGGTGGATGGGATGAAGACGCATTCTCTCATGAGACTTTTTCACATTAGAGAAGTACTAAAACCAAAATTGCCTCTCTCTTCTCATCCATTAAAAGCATGGTACATTTGCACTTTCCTCCCTAAGTCCATTTACACATTTATTGATTCTCTCTGCCCTCTTCCCGTCACGCACACTGACTTTGTCGCTGCTGGTGGAGTGTGTTGGGTGTGTTTCTCCCGACTCCAGACTCAGGACAGACAGGCCGGAGTCTATTAGTTCCTCTTTTAAAGAAAAATCAACATTAGCTTAGTTATATATCACACAGGTGCACTGTTAGAAAATTCATAGCCAAGGATGTTTCTGCGTACCTGTGTTTGTGTTGCTGATGTTGCACTTGGCAAGCTCTATAGATTGGACAGAGATCTCCTGTCGAGAGGCACTGTCTTTTTCGGCGGAGATGGAGCTGGGAGCTGTACTGGGGCCACTGTCTTTTTCACCACATTTGATTTCAGAAGCCTGCTGCTGGGCAATAGGAGGAGCTGACGAGACACCTTCCTGATCCACGTCCTGCTTTGCACTTTCAAGAGGCCGCTGTGGCCCCTGCACTTGATGTTGTTGTTTTTTAGGTGAGGAATCTTTCAAGGAGCTTGCACCTCTTGATTCTGAGCAGGCAGAGTCCTGAGAGCCTGTGGTTTGATTTGTGTGAGACCCCTGGATGAGTTCCTTTGAGAAGCGCACTTTCTTTTCCAAACCCTGAGGGGACGACGTATCTGCCATGTCATCTGGGGGGGTGTCCTCTGTGACTGTAGTGGTGGATCCACTCACTTCCTCAGATGTTCTCAGTGAATCTGGGCTCTGTGACGGTTTCATTTTCAAGTCCACATCTTTCTGATCCTCTACGTCAGCGTCCGTGAGGGCGTCAAGTTCCTCCAAGAATTCCTCTAACGTTGTGTCAGCAGACTGGAGGATGAGATTTGAGCAGCAAATCAATTTTTACACCTTTATTAACAGTTATGAACCAAGTCATGTTTACACTTGCCCATGTCTCACCTGTAGGTCCTCTCCGTCTTCATTTGCCTGCCATCTAAAGGAGAAAGGAATTTGATAAAGAGAGAGTAAAGGACCAGAACAGTGGAGATAGATAGCTGCCAGTAGTTTAGCTAAAGCTAGCTTTAGTCTCAGCTGTTGAAGCCTCAGTGGCCTATGGGCTGCCTGACTAAACTACAATCTACTGCCAGCTGTGACAGCAGCACAGCCTGATAACAAGAATATGTTAGGACACACCTGAATGCTCATGATCCTTTCCTATTTATTTTCACTGAGACACGAAGAAAGGAAATAATTGGTCCCATTACACGTTTACATAAAAAAGGTTATAATATGGCTTTGAATTATTTCCCAGCTTTCACACTGGTACAATCCAAAGTGGAATAACAACCGACTTTCTCCTATGGCTTGTTGGTCCTGCTCAGAAGAAGGGTTTGCCTTGTAAAACAGGACTAAAATATATTTAATATTTATTTAGGTTTTTTCAACCACGGAAATGTACCCAACGGTTAGTACAAGAACAGCTTAAACAAGTAAAACCTGGGTTTACAATGTGTGTGTGAAAGGGAACTCAATTATCCCTGAGTCAACTGTTAGCCCTGGGCTGTGCAGTGCCGAAAGCCGTAATAAACGTCTCACTTCCTGGTTTGTGACCTTTTGGCCTTTTAAGATGATGGGCGATGCTTGTGCAACAACACACCCTGAAAGCCTCCTCACTCAACCCATCAAAGTAGCTGCTTTCACAGCAGAGGAAAGCTGGAGGAGAAATACATGAATGCAGTGATATACCAATGAGGCATTCTGGGCTATTTAATCAGCTGCCACAACTTCTAAATGAAGCCTCATGACATCAAGAAGAATTTGTACAATAGGGCACAGGGCAGGAAAACAACAACGTGCCTTCCCCCATTCGCTTCATGTATTTCATTAGTTATTGCATGTTTTCATGAGGATGTGGTGAGATACATCCAATTTGTTGGATCAACTTTAACATCAGTGTGTTGTGTGTGCTGTTTGTACTGACCTCCTCGCTCTTCCTGTCAGACGCTCTATGCCTTTTGCTTTGCTGCTTATCACTTGCACGTTTTTAGCTCCCTTGTCTTTCCCCCGCTTCTCGTGACCTAGGACAGAAAAACACAGTGAATGAAGCTCACAATAAAATGGCATTTTACATAAAAAGCTATTTCTCCTTTCTGCTGAGACAAGATTCTATGAAATTGTTTACTCTTTGTCTGGTGTTATACATCTTTTAATATGATTGTTGAGCACTGCCTCTATATTATCTGCCTATTTCATACAAGCTAATATTGGACCAGTTTAATGAACCCCTTGTGAATTATATCCCACACCAGTATCTGGTTTCAACATAAAAAATACCAAAATATATGCAAGATACTCTCAGAATACTGGTTGACTGAGGCTTCAGAAAATAACACAAAATATTAAAGTTTTGTACATCTTATGATGATTTCAAGGCTCTAAACATGTTTAAGTGTGGGAAACCACACCTGCCCTGGACTGTCCTCTCCCTCTAGCATTTCGTCCACCTGGAAAAGGAAAATGGATTAAATATAAGAAAAAATAAGAAAACAGGACCAATATAACGAAACACATGATGTTATCTTCATAGTGTGTGGGGAAAGGTCTTATAACACGTTTTCTGTATTGACTGTGTGAATGTCTCACCTCTGCTGGAAGGCCCCCAGTCAGGGATGGATTTGTCTGAAAGCCTAAAAGAGGAGGTTTCAGTTAAACCAATGGAGTCCAGGTGACATAACAGCCCATCCATCCCACCAGCAGCCTCTTCTGACATTGAAGTGTCATTATTGTACATTATGAGAATTGTAGGTGTTGCAGGATCAGTGAGAGGTTTTTACTCCATGAGTCACACCCTTGTATTTTACAAGCAGTGAAGCCATTTATATTGTTGAATAAAAAACACATTTCCTCTTCTATTCTTACTCCAGTGCCTTGTTACGGCCTCGCCAAATAAGGCAAGGTATTCCATCCCTTATCCTGAACTAAAAATAGCCGTTCCTCTCTTGTCTCTTTACATTTCGAAGCTTCCTTAAACAGCACATTATTCTCTCTGTAACTCTTTCTACCACAGCTTGTTTTGTTTGAAATCTAACAAACACTTGACAGGAATGTGCTGCATTTCTTTCCTCCAGTCAGTTTAGGTTGCTAATGTGTGTTTTCAAAAACTGTTCACAAAATGAGAATGCACAAATAGTTAGGCTAACATACTATTACCAAATAGAATATATCATGATTCAATTTGCCTGACATGTCATTATTTAGTGACACATTAATTTAGCAACATCCTGTGACTTCATGAGATTTAGTCTTGTGGTCAAGAACCTCATCTAATGGATTCCTCCACTGACTAATATAGAAAAAAACAGGAAGTTCTTCAAGGTCAGATTGTTTGTTATTTACATCTGCACTGAAAGTGAATGAAGCTTTTCAGCAGCTTCAGAAGAAAAACAAGATTGAAACACAATTTGATTGCACTCCAAAATAAGATAATTTGTACCCAATTACAGTGTATTTTTTTAATTCACTAATTAATAAAGTAATAGTAAGCCTTTTTTGGGGAAATGTGCCTATTTATTTTCCTGCAGAGACTTGAGAAGAGAACTATAAAAGATTGATACCTAACCACACTCATGTTTGTCTGTTAACGCAGTAACATTGTTAGCGTAGTTTAGCTTAGCATCATGCGAGAAGTAGGGGAATTAACTAGCATGGCTTTGTCTGAACGTAACAAGAAAAAAAACCTAGTCTACAAGTTTAAATGTTTTAAATAAAACGCCGCAATAAAAAAATATATACTCCCAGAATTCATTTTTGTAAAACCACAAATTGTCATTTTTACATTTCTGCATTACAGTACAGATTGAAAAAACTGAATATAAAATATAAAATTGGGAGCTTTAGAGGTATTTGGTAGAAATATTTGTGACCTTTGAATAGTGCAATGCAAGCAGTTTACAGTTCTCATCCTGCTACCAATATTTATGCTAAGCTAAGCTAGCTGTTTGAATATAAACATGAGAGGCATCACTCTTTGCATTATGTTCCAGCAAAAAATGAATATGCGAATTTCCCAAAAAGTTAACTCGCCCCTTTTTTTAAATACACGATGGGGGTTATCAGCACAGTTAAAGGAAACCATAAAGAATCATCTTTTTTTATAAAAAAGTGTTTATCTAAGGGATTGATTCCCAATTCCTAACAGAACAAATAACAACTAACAACGTCTCAACTACCAACTGCTCAAAGACTATTTGAAAGATGAGTGTGAATTTGAAGATCCAGACGATTCAAATGTTTCATAAAAAATTCTTGGAACTGAATTACCCATCATAAAAATATAAGGAGCCAATGAAATATCACACGGCAGCGAAACTGTAGGAAATCTGAGACATTATCAGATGAAGAGCCTGGGGAAAGCTGAGACTGAGTCTTACATGTAGTCAGTCTTGTCCAGGTCCCACGCCCGTCTCCACTGGCCCTTGGCGTTTTTGTGGCGTGCCACTCGCTCCTTGTCGATCTGCTCGCGCTCTCTCTTCCATCGCGCATACCCCTCCTGCTCCTCCTTCGACGTGGGGATGTTAAGGTCTGTGCTGGCCTGCAGGCTCTCAGGCTCCTTAGCAGACACAAAGCAGTTTAGTTGTGTTAAATGCACAACACAAGTAGCACACTGAATGTGGATTCATATCATATTACTCTACACTTGGGAGTAATGAAGCCCTGGCACTGAAACGCAACGGAATTAAACACCTGCACCACTCTGAGTGCCTTGTTATAATACATCTGAAGCATCAAACTACTCGCTAATCAGAGAAATGAAGCCCGGCTGGTCATAAACAAGAACAGCTTCAAACAGATCAGTAGGGTTTAGAACCAATATTGTATTTGTATTGTTTTCATGCATTCCACATGACTGTAAATGCCCATAGCTGAGTCACTGTAAATGCTGATGATGGCCTTTTAGTGTCGGTACATTCCACTTAGCTCCCATTTGATACAAAAAGCTTCTTGTTTGTGTACTGTGGCGACTGCAAAGCAACACAATCCCATTATTTCAGACAATATTCCAGGAAAAGTGCAATGTACTGTAAATGTAATTAGGTCCCCTTCTTCCATTCCCCTCTTAACCTGTTTGTTGATTACTGCGATGAGAGCAGAAAGGATTGCTTGCTAATACTAAAGAGAGATCTGATGCAGGCTCTTTAACACATCAAAGGGGACAGAGGCTGTGTGCTCTTGTAACAAAGCCCTTGGGCGGATAAAAACACTGCTGTGCTCCGAGGGAAATCACGCAAAAGACGGGCGATCAGTGCTCATCAGTGTTTAGATTGTATTACAGCAGGAGGCAAATGATGTTGCTGTCTTGAGAAATATTAGAATCGTGTGTGTAAAATGGAAAACACTCTGCATTTCATAACACAAAGAGAAACAGCACAGTGGCTGGTAAGAAACCAAGATGCGTGATGTTTTCTTCTCAGGTGTGGACCAATCACAGCTAAGTAAACATGTTGTACAGTTATTGGCGAACACGGCATCTGTACTCATCCCTCTGCTTCCATCGCCCTCTCCTCTGCTCCCCTCCCGGAGGACATCATGGGGCCACAGGGGAGGAAGCTTCTCGCATGTTCCAACAGGCCGTCTCCGGCTGACACAGTAGCCGCCCTGCTAATTAGCACTTTTCAATTTCTCGCTTACGTGGGGGGGCCGCGGCAGGTAGGCTGGACGTTGCACAGTGAGTGTGGATGGAGCTGATTTTAGATAGATTGGTACATGGTAAATAATAATGCTCTTATTCTCAACTGCTGAATGTCTTCCATTTAAAGCTGCTCTGGTTTAGGCCTGAGAGGTTTCTGGTACATTTGTTAAACAAAGCAGCAAACAAAAGCAAAGCGCTGTCTGACCCTTACCCCTTACACAACACCTTGACAAAAACTCAGCTTTGTATTTTCTTTGAGCACTGACTCAGCTCGGGCTGCAGAGCAGGCAAGGTGCAGAGAGGCATGAACAGCATCACTTGTCATGCGGTGTGTTCGGCGGGCCTTTGAAGCCCACCTTCCCTGCCTCCCTGGTTCTCATGTTTGGCGCACAAACGATCTCCGAGACAGCTGAGAAACTCCAGCGACGTTAACATTCGAGCCAGATGGGGATGAGCTCTAGAAATAGAGGTTGTGCGTGCCAACATTTCGTGTCTGTCTCCCTGTGAGGAACTGTGATGAGGAGGGTAAAGTGTATATTTGCATTTCTTTGTGTTTTTGTGTGGAAACCCAGCAAATAATATCTCACATCCTAGGAAGGGTATGTGCTAGAGATCGTGACAATATGCGCGTTAATAGGCTTTGCTCTTTTATGTCGACGGAGGCATTGTGGTACCTGGCATTGCTCTGAAAGCCTTTGATGCTCCTCAGCGTGCTTCTGCCCTTGTTTAACTTCATCCTGTCAGAGAGGAGAGACACAAAAGAAAAAGGAAGTTGAACATAACAACAATAAAGGTGACACAGCAACTTGTCGCCAGCCAATTGAACATGGATGTAAAGAGTCACATTACTGCTGCCATAAACAGTAAAAGCACATCAGGCCAGAGCACAGACTCATCCATTATCCTAGATTAAGAGAGCTACACTGCCCCCATGTGGACTCACGGTGCTACATCATGACTTCTGTGTCTCAGTTTGAAATGTCCTTTCTGCAATGAGGTCATCATAGCAGAGTGCAGGTGGATGAATTTCAGTGGTTTGGAAAATGAAACTCATCTCATTGCAGGTAGAGAGTTGTGTGCATTTTGATTGAAGTGTATTACTGACTGCTCCATTGAACACAGTGGATGAGTCATGTTGCCATTAACAGCAACACTTGTATGAACAACCGAGGAGGGGGATGACAATAAATGCTGGACAGCATGGTCTGGTGCACACACTGTGCTACCCACACCACCCAAATGCAGCCGGGCTTATGCACAAACACAAAAGAGTCCTGTCTACCTTGTTACTTCTTTCTACTCTCGCTCCTTCTTCTTCTCCCTCTCTGATCCTTTCCTGGCACCTCGCCAGGCCTGTCTCTTTGGCAGCATAATGAGCCTTTTCAGAGTGAGAAGGCAGTCGAATGTTAATTAGATCAAATCGGTCCTTTCAGGATGGTGGGAATGGGGAAACAATCGTGCCAGAGGAAGGCAGACCACTTAAGGTTCCAGAGAGGAGAAATGGAGGCTGGAAACGGCTAGCGAGCTGCCAGGGGTCTCTCCCCTTCTCTCTCACCCCCCGGCTCGTTTTTCCTCACTCATTCTACATTTCCTATTCTGCGGTCTCTCTCTTATGAGTGTGAACTGACAGTCTAGTCACAGGGTACTTCCAGGCATTACAATCTGCTTGGGACACTGCCAAATACACTACACCCCTCTCACAGTTATTATTTATTTCCAGGGTGTACCCCAGACACACACACACACACACACACACACACACACACACACACACACACACACACACACACACACACACACACACACACACACACACACACACACACACACACACACACACACACACTCTTATTGGAAAAAGATTTCAGAGGCGAGGCCAAACCAGAGAAATGTGCAGCTCATCATGGATAACTTACATACAAATATGTTTCGAACACTTGCCAGATAGATCCATGACATGTTCTCTCCCCATCAACACCCTTTGGCAGCGCTTCCACCCCAGCTCTCATAAACCGAGTTAAATGATACCGGTTGTGTAAACAGTGCCCTCATGGAAACCAGGTTTCTGGGATTCACAGATGACTGGTGAAACGGCTACTGTTCAAGTGCTGATTCAGTCCACATGATAAATAAAAAGGGACAGAACAAGAGGGCCAGAAATAAAGAAAAGAGAACAGCGTGTTTGGCCCATACAGTGCACATGAACTCAGACTGAGGCCAGTAGGCAGCCAATCAGAGGCAGATGTATTTACACACATATTCAGCCTCCACTAGCTTTGTGTCCGGAGACCCTTCCCGAGACAAGACTGTGTCTGTGTTTACATTGGTGATGTCTGTGCTGTGCAGCAACTCATTGATTGAGCAGCTTTGTGTGTCTGAGTGCATGGATTTATGTTTGTGTGTGTGTGTGAGTGTGTCAGACTGAGGCAGAGCAGCTGTTCCTCGGTTTCTGCATACCCGGGGGGGGGGGGGCCTAAGGTCAATGACAGTTTGGTATTTCACAGCCCTACCAGGGACACTGCACGTGTACATGTGTCTCTGTCTATATGCATTGTGCACAACATGTGATCTGAGACCTACAGTATATAGTGAAGCTATTGATGTTAAACATGCCGTCTCTGATCTCATACTACAAACAACAAGGAACTGTGTTGCAAGAGCTGGAGGGACTCACAGCCTGATCCATACGCCCAATGGCTAAATAAAAGCCGCTCATAGGGGAAGAAGAAGATAAAGAGCCATCATACCTGATTAAAATCATTAGTTTTAACGATTAGACAATATTTCAATTCGTCATTCGATAGAAAAACAAACTGTTTTCATTACAAAATAATCAGTAGTAAAGTTACTTTTTCTCCAAAAACGGCAGTAATGCTGTTTTCAGCCTCTTAAATTAGGATATCTTTTTTGCTTTTCTCTATTTAATCATACTAAACTTAATATGTTTGGGTTTTGTACTGATAATACAAGACATATAAAGACACATTTTCCCGGTAGGCCTTGAAACTGATATGTAGGATCTACAGTGCATCTACTTAACATAAATCTCTATTAGCCCACTCCCCGTTAATCCCACACCAGTCCGTCACTGCTCCAGTCCACCTCCTGTCTACACACCATTGTGCTCCATCACTGCAGGGGTGTGGCCAGCCGACATGTCTGACATCTATGTAAAACACATCAGTGCAGCACGAGAGGATGAACAAGGGGGGTTGAGAGAGTGGGAACACACTGGAGGGTGCATGGCGGGGTTTAAAATGCTGGAGCGTATGATAACTGACTGATTCCCACCTGTGCTGCCGTGTCCCTCTTGGTCATGTGAGGTGGATGCTTCACCCTCCCCGACGACTCCACACGCCTCATCTGTCCGTCATCTGCAGGGCTCTTTACGTCCGCAGAGCCCGGCCTCTTCTCTGGCCTCTCACTCACCACCCTCTTACCCTGGAGAGACACACACTCTTATTAGGGTATCAGTACTGTAGCAATGGGCATGTGGACAAAGGATTGTGAAAAAGCTACCAAAACCCTACAATTTAATCAAGCATCTTCATTATTCAACAGGATAACAGTTGAATAATACATTCCCCCCCATTCCTAACATATTGTAAACATGTCTTTACTTATACAAAATGATTGCCCCCTTCAATTCTAGCATCAGTTTTATTTTGTGCTAACTAGCAAATGTTAGCAGGCCAACAGGCTAACCTCATATAGTAAACATGATAAAGACTATTTCGCATTGTTATTGTGAGCATGTTAGCATGCAGAAGTTAGCATTTAGATCAGAGCACTGTTGTGGTTCAAAAGAGCTGTTAACTCCTAGTGGCAAACATTGGCACTGAGGTGTATTTACCTTTTTGCCAGCCATGGTGACCATTAGCTGCTTCCTGTGGCCCCGGCTGGGACCCTGCGGAGGGCCTTCTTCTCCCATGTCGGGCCCGGCCTCCTCCTGTCCTTTACCTGCTGGTGATCCACCGCTGAATGGCTTCTTCACCACAACCCGACTATCCTGCTTCAAACCAAAGAAACAAAAATATTCTCAGTGTTTGTGGCATCTTGTTTTCACAACTAAATGAGACTGTGTGCACCAATAGCATCAGTCACATCATTATAACAAACTCACATTGGTGGTCTTGCTGATTGTGATGGTAAAATCCTCAGCTTTGCCCTTTCGGCTCTGCAGCATAACTCCTTCCTCTTCTGCCCTTTTCCTGTCCTCTTCAACTTCCTAAATGAAAGTCAATGAAAACAATAGAATAATAAGGAGGCCTGCACGAGCTGCATTCAGAAGCCACTCTGCCTCCAGGCACTTGTCCTTACCTTGTGCCTCTTCATGAGCGCCGCATTCTTCCTGCGGAGAGCCTCGATCTTCCTGTCCAGCTCCAGGTCCCTCTCATGATCCCTCTTGGGCATCATGTCACTGGAGGGCTGGAAAAAATCAGATCATACAAGATCATTGACACAATAAAAAAGTTAATTCACATTTCATTTTTTAACACATTTCAATTTTTCTCTAGTGCCATATCACAGACCTTTTTGTAACTTTTAGCTTTTGGATATCATATCAGTTCTAGGGTACTAACCCAATACTTTATTTTTTAACTCATTGAAAATAGTCTAAAACATTTGATTAAAGTAGCCAAGAAATACAGTGCTTGAGGGTTTTCAATACACCACTAAGTGTGCCGTGATAACAGACACAGCACAAACACACCCGCACAACAACCACAGATGGAGCATTCATTACAGAGCTCGGTTACAGGGCGAGAATGCATATGCGGAGTATCCTAAAAATCCCAATGTGGTCAGCAGGGCAGGCCTACTCACACGACAAGAGGCCCCATACTGATAATCTCTCTCATGGAGCAGCATCCAGGTGTGTGTTAACACTTCCCTTCATAAAGGACCCTCATTAACTTACTGTACCATCTGCAACATGTGAGAGAGAGGTGCTGAGTTAAGAAATGTGCACAGATATTAAAGATAAGGATATTGTTACATAATGATAACGGTGAGGCATTAACCATGTCCCAAGTCATTTCCTTTTGCCTGCAGCACATGAATTATATTGGTCTGTATATTCTTTGGGTGCCTAAGGGTTTCCTTAACTGGCTACTAAAGAGGCACATGTCTGAGAAGATTGGTTTATGAGGGGCTCCTTTCTGCAGCATGAGGTTTAAGAATCACTATAGGATCATATTAATGACACGTCAGAGATGCAACAAAACAGCCAGAGGCCAGAGATAACTAGAATTCTGCAACTCATTTTCATTATCAATTCATATGCTAATTATTTTCTAGATTATTTGTTTGGTTTATTAAAATATCTGAAATAAGTCAAAAAGGACGATCCCAGCTTCTCAAGTCTTTAAAATAAAGTTGTTTTATCAGTCCAAAACTCATAGATATTAAGTATGATATTATAAAAAACTGAGAAAATGCAGACAATCTTCTTTAAAGGGAAACATTATTGTAAGGTCTAATCAATTATGAAAACAGTTGGCGTTGCAGCTCTAACTGGCATCTGGCTGTAGCTTCAAACTTAACTTACAAACATAAGAGTGGTCTGGATCTTATCATCTAATACTTGGCAAGAAAGTGCATATTCCAAAAGGTTGAACTAATCCTTTAAATTAGTACACCAGGGTATATGAAATGCCAGCACGAGGACTGATCACAATAATTGCTTACTTCATATAAATGTTGTTTCATAAATACATGCCCCAGGCAATGAGATGATACAAACAGAGAAAAACATTTATCTTCTGAAGCAGATGGTTTATTTTGGCTCATCTCATAGTTTAAGCTTGGAAAAGGCACAAACATGTCAATTTTAGTAATAATTCCCTTAGATTTCTTGACAAAAAGTGATGTGATAGATTGAAACATGTCCAAACCTTTTGAAAAGATGGAAAAAGAGTCATGAATTTGATTATTGTAAGCCAGCGACTAAGGGGTTGCATCTCTCCTCATATAGTAATAAAGTTTTCATTCAGCAGACAACAACAGCACTGATAATACCCAATAAATGAAAACCATTGTTCAAATGTAGACTCAATTAAAACAAGTATTTCCCACTTCGAATGAATAATGGATCACTGACTGTTGTTAGCTAAAGCTGAGAAGAAGTGACAATAGAAATGTTTTGACTGGTGGTTGTTGAAACTGTGAAAACTCATAATTCACTCGATGTATCCCATTCTCCACACTCTTGTAGGAATTATTTTAGAAGGGTCAGACCTTCTCGGCAGAGACAGGAAGTAGATGTGCCAAAACAAGTCAGTCTATCTCCACTGTTGCCCCCAGTGACGACGAAAAAGTCAAGGCAGCTTCGATGTGATGTTACACAGAATGATGACTCACAGCTAGTGAGCCCACGAAGACCAACACATTGGCACTGACAAGATATTATTCGGTGCATTTTTCCAACGTTGCCCTTGTTACGCCTACAAAGATTAGCTGACACTGAGATGTTGAATGTGTTTGCACAGCCTTAAGTATAAAAGCAAACTACACATCCTGAATGCAGTTTTGTGTCAAACCTGGAAAAGTTGGGACTCACTCAGAGAAGCATCAGGCTGAAAAGTGGTTACCTCACAGCTTCTAGTTGTCAGGGTATCCAAACACAACACACCATGAGGACATACCACCAAGAATAGGCGCAAGGGAGAGTCCGGCTGCCCAATCTAAATCTCAGCGAGGCCAATGGCTATGAAGTAAACCCCGGCCTCCACAAACTGAAGTGGGGATACTCTGCAAGGGCACGGTACCCCTCTGGGTTCTGCCGGACAGTTTTGTGATTGTGCCGCAATAACACGCAATAACAAAATACACAGAGACATTGTGGGTCTGCCAGCGGACAGCACCCATGCCCAGGACAGGCAGAGGGAGGGGGCCCTGCAGGGAGAACGCTGCCAAGGCTTACTCCATACCCAGCGTTCCTGCCACCTACAGGAGCTACAGCAGGGAGAGAAAGAGAAACGCTGCATGTAGCCACAGCTAAATCTGCGACAGAGGAAAAGGAATAGGGGGAACCTAACACCAGAGAGAGAGAGAGAGAGAGATAGAGAGAGAGAGAGAGTGGGATGAGAAGGAGAGGGAAGGCACTCACAGGTCTTTCCATGTCAGCGCTGAGAGCTGGGCAGTGTCCAGGCGAGAGGCAGCCGGGGCGGCAGAGAGGGCTGCCTGGAGTCGACGATCATGCCTCGATTACAATGAGCCAAGTTGGGCAAGCAGCCAAGACGTCTAAGAAATGCTCAGAGCTCCCCTGTTCACGGATTGCACAGCACCCATCCGCTCGTGCTCCCTCTCCCTCTCCAGCCCTCCCACCCTCCTGCACATATGCTCCCTCACTCCCTCTCGCCCTTTCTGAAGCACTTGCTCTTTCCCCTCCTCACTTATACTCAGCTCAAAGCATGCTAGTTAAATCCCGTCAGCCTCCTCCCCACATACACACTTTAGTGACAATATGAGTTTTGTTCTGTGTGTGTCATCATATGTTTGGCAGCCACAGCTAAATGATATTCTCACTGTTTTTATAACAATTTGAGAGTGGCAATAGGGTCATCTTTTTGTTTATAAATTAAATATTTGTTCCATTGGAAGTGGAAGAGACCATTGGAATAGGTACATAAGGCACACACATACAGGTTAGATGGCTTTGGATATACATTTGGTACTGATAATTAAAGGTAAATATAGGTTTTAGATTTCACTCTAATATGTAGTAAATATATTTTTGTTTCTGTTTATTTAAACATTTATTGTATGGTTACTGTGTGCGTGCTTTCAGATATTTACCATTATGTTCTTGTGTCCTGACCAAGCGAGTTGGGGGAATATAACAAAGTTTCTTCCTATGATGGGGCTCTTTCACATCTAAAGCGGCACTTTGTCAATCCAGACATTTTAAATGAGATGCGTGTGTTGTTAGGTCCCACTGCGGTTTCAACAGCTGCGCTCCTACGACCCCAGACTACATGTTTAGAGTACTAAAGAAGCTTCCTAAACAGTGGAGGTGGGGGGGTCGCCTACTGAATTTCCCACAATTCTTCATGCACGGCATGCTGCCTTGCCAAAGCAGAGTTTTAGAGCTAATGACATGCAGCCAACAGGCAGGCTGCCGGCTCGCAGACAAATGCCATAAGTGTCTCAAGAAAAGCAGCAGCAGAGACAGGGTTCTGCAACAAACACATCTTTGAAAGTTGCCAGGCTGAGCTACATTTTTAGCAAAGTCCACATAGCTTACATTCTACATGGATCAATCCTGCTAATTAACTGAAGCTCCTTAGTAAATATTTTTGCATAAAAGTATTTCAGCTATTTTTGAATTAATGTAAATATCATCTTGAAAAGAAAGTTTGTATACATGATGTGTTGCCCCCCTTACATACTAATACATAGAAATGATTCTGCCAAGTGGTGAACTATGTACTTGATTTCCAACCTTGAACCTAGGTTATTAGGTTTATGAACTGCCAGTGCGTGCAGCTGAAGGCGTAGTAGTAGTAACTAGAGAATGCAATTCCTGAAGAAATTGCTAGTGGGAATGCTTTATGCTGAAAAGCTGACGCTGAAATGTAATGTGTAAGAAGAAAGTGAAGAATTTAGATTGAAATGATACATGAACACTGGGGGCTTGAATGTGTGATGAGAGAAGAAAAGAAAGTAAAATGGCTTGGAAAAGCAGCAGAATATTTGAACTGCAAACTATTGAACTAACTTGATGGCGAATGATCTGTCGCCATGGCAACGGTATTTGATGACACCCCATAATACGCTTAGATATGTTGATGGCTGCATCGTTACCAAACCTGTTTAGTTTTGGGCTGTTTGGAGCATTTTCACTGAAGTTATGAGAAAACCATGTTTCATGGCGAGCATTGTGTTGCCATGGCAACGGCATTTGAAGAAATCTCAAAACTGTCCTGTCGATGTCTTCACGGCTGGACTGTTAGCACACATGTGAAGTTTTAGCACTTTTGACAATTTTCATAGGAGTTATAGCAATATCGTGTTTTTGCGTGAAGCATGTCAAGGAACTTGAGCATCTGAAGTGTACTTTTTGTGTACTTTCGGGCAGTGCTTGAATTGGGCCGGTACTTACCGGTACGCAGTACCGGCACTTCAGATTTTTACCCATGTGGTACCGGCACTTCTTACTGAGTACCGGCAAGGTGCCGGTACTCAGTAAGATGCCAACAAATATGCCCAGCGTATAGATGCGTCATGAGATGCCGCCGGCCGCCGGCGTGGCTTAATAATAGTGCGAAAAGACAGCGGTTGTCGCCGGACAAGGAGCCGACTGCAAATACAGAAAATGCTGTGCCTGTGTTAGAAATGTTGTCTGACGGGGAGCCTTCTCTGGTCGAGCCTCCTGCTCCAAGTTCTGCATCCCATAAACCACCGTCTGGATTCCCCTGTGTCCTCCCTGGCAGCTCCATTGATTCCCTCTCTCCTTTCCTGCTGAAAGATGAGTGTACTCAGGGACGAGGAGTCATTTAACCAGCCACCAGTAGGAGTCAGGCTTTACTTTCTTTTATATCCATAAAGAAAAAGTAAATCTGTTTACAGTTCTGTTTCATATGGATGTTGAGAGGTATCCATATATCTCTTCATTTTGCTCTCAAAGTGCACCAGATTGATGCATTTAACTTAAATATTTAAAAATAAATCTTCCCGGGGGAGCATGCCCCCGGACCCCCCTAGAGGGTGTTAGGTCCACTCCCCACTTATAAAAATAGCACTTTACCACTGCACCCCCTCTAATCTCTATGCACCCTGAGTCATTTTGTTACAAGTGAGCCTTTCTAAAATATACAGTAAAGAGACAAACCCACCAGCATTATAGGATAGCCATACTATATGACTTTGAGCCAAATACTTGTTTTTGGGCTGTATAAATAAATTGACTTGAAACAGTTGCTGATTTAGAGTACTGGCACCTTTTTTATTCCAATTCAAGCACTGCTTTCGGGTTAATAATGTAGCCTTTTTGGCAGATTAACTAAAGGTGTGCGGCTGCTGTGGTGGGGAAAGATGAGGCTGAATTTACAATGGGGTTTAATGGAGACATGTTGAAAGTTTTTGTCACTTCATGCCCTCAAGAGGCATTTTGTTGAATTATTTTACTTAATTATTTTTTATTTTTCAAGCTACGAGATGTTTTCCTACGTTTCTCATGAAAAATGATGTCTCAGGAATGTAGGGTTTGGGAATTATGGCAGGTTTAAAAGAAAACATGAAGGCAAAATTAAATCTGTCCTCCACTCTAGCTGTGACATCACGCACTCTAAAATCTGAAGAAGGCCTCTTTACCAAGGTCTGAACAATGTTTAATATCTGTAAAAGTACGAATCAGATTTAAAAGTTGTGTTACATGAATAATGTCAGAAAGATGTGTAACATTTTAAAGTTGGAATGAGGTTTCTGAGTGAAAGTATGAATGAACAGTTAGCAGTTGAAGTTGCATGAAGATTGTTCAAGTCTGAAGAGTTTCTCCATTGACTTCCATGTTAAAAATTGGATGTATTATGGGATGTATCTCTGGAATTATGAAAGTTATGAATGAGAAAAATAATAGCCATCGATTCCCGACCGAGCTGAACGTTTTTGATGTTTGAACGGAGTTTCTGCGATGTGGAATGTGGGAGAAGAAGAGGTGCAAAATAACCCGGCGGAATAATAAAGAATTTTGTGCGTAGCATAACAGATAGTTGGAATGCTGTATCAGCATTCCCACTAAAATAGTTATGCTAGACCAGTTTGGGCATTTGTGCACAAATTAAGAAATTGACATTTGAAGTGAAATTTTGACCTGATGATAGCAGCAGATGAAAAGTGAGGGGACCAGCAAAGTATTTATCATCTGGAAACAATTAATGTCATTCAAAATTATCTGATTTATTTTTTTAGGTTTGGAACAAGGTTGCAGGCAGACTAACATCCTGATAGCATGGCTTGAAACCATAGACTGTATATATAAATGGACGTAGGGTCCGTGACGTCACCCATAGGATTCTGCAGAGTTGCCGAGAAGCCCTTAGTAGGCGGAGTCGGCCACTAACGGCTCGACAGTGACGTCAGAGTTCCACTCCCGCCTGCTCCAGCCTGCTCCAAATAAGGGCAAAGAGGCGGAGCCGAGGCGGGACCTGCTGCCTTCGAGCTGGAAGTAACAGAGCTAGCTCAAGCTACCAAGCTAAGCTAACATGCTCCCCATCTGCACACTGCCGTCGCATTTTACGTTTCTAAGGTAAGCGGACATGAGACTATTCAGCAAAACTATAAATAATAATCTAAGTTGAGTTTTTAGCATAATACTTCAGAATCTTAAAATCCCTTAACGTTTGTATGCAATGTGCTAAATGCAACACTGGAATCAAGCAAATATTAATATGTTTGCATGACATTAGTTATTTATATTTTGCCATCACTTAATTATACGTTTAATACATTTAAGTTAAGCTAAGGTGCATGTGATGATAGCTAGTTAGTGCTCTTACCTGTGAGGCCTCCTCCAAACAGCATTATAACCAGACTGTATCATTAAAACTACAAGTACCAGTTCTAGATCCTTGACTTTAGACAAACAATTCAAAAGACAAAATGTATTTAAAGACCAATCTTTATTTGAAGGTGCCTCTTAACCTGAGATATTAGTTATACAGTAATAGTATTGACAATCTAAAAAAACTGAGCAACTCAACGGTTCACTTTTATATTTCTTATTGTCTAAAGCATTTATTATTTTCATTTTTCCCCTCTCATATTCAGTGTGGACGGATTGAGACAGCGTGGTGTCCAGAGAGCTGCAGAGACTTCAGGGAGAAACCTCCGTGTGATGGACGTCCTGTCTGTTGGTTTGGAGAGGACTGAGGGTCTTTCCTCTGTGAGGAGGATCAGACCTGATGGAGGAGCCCATGCATAGCTGATACCACCTGCACAGGCCTAGTCTGTCACTTTATTTGACTAAATGTGTTTACTTATACATTTAATAGGTTTACACCTTCTGTCCATATGTGCTTTTTATTTAAAACATGTTTGATTAACTTTTGGTTCACATTTCAATAAATTGAATTTGTATTTGCACTCCTTTTGTCTATTACTCTTACTGAAAATGTTAGATTACACATTCACATCTGACTGAAGATTGGCCCCATTTATTTGCGTTGCAAACTCTGCGGTACAAGGTACATGTTGTGAAGCTCATAAAGTGAGGCAAATAGAAATAATCAGCTGATGGAGTGTAGATGTGGAAATAGGTGCATTCGATCAGCTGACTGTGTTTTCACAATAAAAGTAGTTTCTTAGTGAATGTCCTTTACTGGTCTTAACATCTCATAACATCAGCTTTTAATTTCC